GTTTTAAAGACATAAATATGACCATCAAACATGTGAATGAAGATTAATTTGATATGTGTAGAACAGCACAAGTAACTAGTTATCTGAGAAGTCCATACATATGTCCCTAGATGGGCCTTATTTCTTCTGAGCACTTCTTCATCCTAACACATATGTTTAAGTCTGCACTAAAATATAATTCATAAAAATCACAAAAAGGCTCCAAAAGTTTTAATGAAATTATCAATATTTATTATACTATGAACAAATCAGTGTATTGTCTTTTTTTTAATACTGAATGTGACTTTGCTGATTGTAAAAGCAAATGGCTACAGTATTATCTGAACCTTTTTTAGGTACATATTAAAATTAAAAGACATTTTAAAGCGTAAGATGATGACTCAGTGAATAAAGACCTTAATATATATATATATATATATATGGACCTGAGTTCAAGTTCATGAAACAATGTTCAAAGGCCTAGCATGACCTGTAGGCACAGGGATCCCATTATTAGATGTTGGTTGCAACTGGATACTACCCCAGAAAATGACAGGGCATAGTCTGGCAAACCCAAGAGCAGACAATAATAGAATCTTGTCTCAGATGTAATAGAAGTTGAGGGAATATACCAGAGCTTGTCCTTTGAAATATAATGTGATCTAGGTCAACACACACACACACACACACACACGAGCACACGGACACACGGACACACACACACACACAGACACAAAAGCACACAAGTGGACACAAAAACACATAAAACATTTTGATTAAAATGTTTAGAAATGATTTTGGTTTTGTTCAGTAGTTCACTCAGGGTCGTCAGCCTCCATGACCCATCATGAATTTCCCTTCTCATTCCAACCATAACACCATGGCTGTCATTGTAAGAGTGAAATAAATACCCTCCTGCATGCAGAAATGTGCCTATGTTTGATCTTTTGGACTAGAATTACCTATGACTGGCTTCTAAATATTCAAGGTAAGAAATCATTTGTCTGTAGATATAATATTCATTCAATAGTTAATATCCTGGAAACTTTCAGAGACTCTACCAAAAATATTACTGCTGCATGAATCTAGTGGGAGACAGGACTAACAAGGATAGTCTAAACAGATTAGTTTCTCCATGGTTCTAAAGTAGAAAATATACATCCCCGCAGCATTGGCTCTAGCATGAATATTTTTAAAGTCATTACATTTTAAAATAAGTTTTTAATACTTTCAGTATACTTGTTAGCTAGACATTATTTACCTTTTTTTTTTAACTATGTACTCCAAACTAGGGCTGTTCTAAAAATCATGGGAATAATTTTCACCATTTAGTACTAGGATTCTAGCCATACACCAGTGTTTCATTAGTTCACCCAGGGCCATCAGATATAGATTCTACAAAACAAAAGGAGTTAATACTCCTGTTGCTGATCAAACATAGTAAGAATGTAAAATTAACACTTGTGACACAATCATGCCTGCTAGCTAGGGGAGGACATGAAACCATAGGCTTATGTAGACATTTAATCCCTGTCCCCAGCTGCCTCTCCAGTACTGCTAAAACAGTAGTTGGGAAGCACAGCAGTATTGTGAAAGAACTTGCTTTGGGACTATTGTGTTCTTTTTAACTGTGGACATGTTGAACGTGTGGGGGTAGGCTTAGCAGCCCTGCTGCTTGAAAAGAAAGACATAGCACCAGCTGCTTCTTCTATACAGCCCCACCGTCCAGTTTCCAGTCTCTGGAGCTATTTGTCAAGCTGTCTACATTTTCCCTCTCCTGTGCAGTGCCTTCAACCTCCACCTTTGCCCCTGTCAGTCTGTACCCTGGCAACATGGTGCTTTACAGAGTCTGCTTTAGAACTGTGCTTCTCCTGGCTCTATTTGCATCTCCAATTGCTGGACATTGGGAGACCCTTCATTGAGATCTCAAGCCCTAAGATCTTCTGGATTTTGCTGAGAAAAAGACAGTTCTTCTGAATCAAGTAACTGAAGAAGAATCAGAGGTATGTGTTCAAAGATTATGTCAACATATCAATGCTGAAAGTAAAAAGAAAGAAAGGAGGGAGGGATCCCTAGAAAGGAAGGAAAAATATGGTTTCAATGATTAGAGAGGATACTCTGAGTGTTCTACATTGGACAATATATAAAATAACTGTTTGTTTCTCTCATGGTACTCTAACCAGTATGTGCAGTTATTGATCTACTGTGAAATTTTTAAAGTTTAGTAGTAGGTGACTTTAGTTTGTAATATAGGATTATTGAATACCAGTCCTACATGTATAGTCACTATGGGGTAGAGAACACAACGAGACACAGGAGTGGCAGCCAAACAGATGGAGATTCAAAGTCACTTATCATACAGTCCTAGCAGCAAAGTCTTGAGAATATTAGGAAACATTTTGCTCATTTCTCAGTTTTTAAAATTTAAGGGGTCACGGTGGTAAGAGTCAACACAAAGTTAAGTGTTTAATATAGTTGATATTAAATTTAATTAGTCTAAGGTGGTCGTCTGAATTATCATTATAATTTAAAATTAAAACTTAAGTCTTCAGGATTTTGAGCTACATTTCAATTCTTCAAAGCCAAAGGAGGCTACTAAACTGAAAAGCAAACCTGTAATTGTTCACAGAAATTTTGGATAGTGTACAAAAAGAGGTGCAGTGTAATTTATATGGAGTGCTTGTAATAAATCACCATTGATTGAATAAGTTTGAGATCTACAAATATTCAAGATTCTCACATTTGTGAAAAGTAGGTAGTTCATTATATAAGGCTAGGAACTATACTCTGAGCTGTTTTATCTTTAAAAACCAGTCAAGATGTTAAAAGAGTCCTCATTAACTTATACATACTGAAAATCAAAGAGAAAGTATATTCTAGACAGTTCAAATGTATTTTTGAACTTTGGAAAAGCTATTATACAAATAAAAACATCATAATGACTATGCAAAGGAGAAATTGACAACCAAAAATTCCTTGGTTCCAGATGAAAACTGAAGGAATAATTATCAAACAAGCAGTTTACCTTTAAAAATATTGCATGTTGATCATGGAATACCTGTTATGTTTAGGTAAAAATGAATTTCAGTTGATTACAATGCAGTTCACAGAATAAACAACCTTAATTGCCATAAATTCAATCCACTTAAAATGTTTATCATTTATGTCTATATACATGATATACAAATTGTTCTTTATTGAATTTTTGGACATCATACTAGATAAATATGCATACAAACCAAATGATTTTTCTATATATAATTAGCAGTTTTGCCTGCTAATGAGCTAATTACTTTCTGCTTCTAAAAAGTCTTATTTCTTTTCTTTTTTCTCTATTGTACAAGTGAGCACTTTAAAACAATACAAGATTTTCAACCTTTATGTTCAGTTCAGATTCAACATTTTAAAATATCTCATTTCAAAATTGTCTTAATCACATATGTAATATATCTAATAGATCTTTATTTTTGTTTCTGATATTTTGACTACTAGTTCTCTATATATGATCATTTAATGAAAAGTCTTAAGTTTCATGTTAAAATATTTTCCCCACTATCATCTCATAGTTCTTAGGTCTCTTGTAAATTAGTGGCACTAAAAATATCTCATTGTTTTGAGGTTTCTTATTAGTGTCAGCTCTTTTGAAGTATGTGATGCTGGAGATCTGAGCCTTTTATTATTTTCCTTAATAAGTTGCACAAGAAAAGTTTTGCCTATTCTATTGTCTTTATTTCATGTTTACTTTTGCTTCACTTCCCCCATCTTATCTATATTGTTTGATAATGTTCCTCTTAGTTTGTTTTATTATTGTTGGCTTTATTTAGTTGAGACTTATATTTTGAGTTGGATGATTATATCATAGGCATTCAGAGTTTTTTTTTTTAACCTTAGGTTGTAAGACTCCCTTCAATAATAGTATTTTACCAAGCATAATTTTATTTTTAGAAAAAAGGTAGTAAATTAAAAATTTGAAGCATTGCTAATTCAAATTGTCAAGCAAGGAAAGGAAGCATGATTATTACCCAAAATAAAAACCCACATAAAACTACACTATAAAACTTAGTATGCTACTATAGTAAGTACATGTAGCAGTATAGAACTACATATAAAATTAGTAATCCAACAGTATATATCTGCAAAATGAAAAACAAAACCAGGCTCAGTGAGGAAATGGAAATGAGACACTTTGGGGTGCAAAGGGGAGCTGGTATTATGAAAAGCTCAGTAGAGCAGAATGGGATGAAAAGGAAGGCAAGGAACAAAGGGTCTCCGAATCCAACCAACAGAAAACAGTTAAAGCCTGGGTCATTCTCAGACCTTGCCTTATTAAGTCTTCATCAGGGCTGGGCAAAGTCCAGGCTACTACTTTGTTGGGGGGTTGGGGAGGGGGTGAGATTTAACAAAGGCAGGAAAGTGAAAGGCTCTGACTAGCCTCAGGGCAGAGGATTCCCTTCTAATTAAAGTGCATGCAAATTAACCCTTCAAGGAAAAAGACCCAAAGAATCCTGTCAGATCTATAAGCATCAAAGGAGAAGTGCTTCGGCGGGGACACTCTTCGATCTTAAAAATTAGTCGGCTATAAACAAGAGACAGAATAGACAGAAAAAGGATTTTTCATGTTTATGAGTGAAATGTTTTATAAACGCCAAGAGCAGCAGATGGCAACGGCAAAGATCGTTGCGTTTTCTTAACAGAAAAAGAAAATAATAAAATGCAATGTATTCAACCGAAACCTGGAGAGATTAAAACATCAACCTTGAGGGGAAACAATGTGGAAACGCGGATCTGAGAGTTCAGAACCGCACTAAGAGAGCCGGCAGACGCCGATCCCAGTATCTTAAGCGGATACCGGCACGAGAAAAACATGGCGGAAGCAACTTCCGCTAAAGCACTGGAAAATGGTGTTACAACCGGAAGTGTCCGTCTGCCTGCAAGCAGGTAGGAACTAAAGTTCTAAGGGAACAGGGAGTAGGTGGGAAGACAAAAATTGATGCACTTCTCTCCGAGAAGAAGCTGGTCGAGCCATCTCGAGCTCCGCAATTCAAGCACAAAAAAGATATAATATTCGGGTTTTTGGACAGTGTTAGAGGCACGCTATACGATGGAAGAGTCTACAGCTCCCTATGAGGCCCACGCAGCCGCCGGCGCCGAGGCAGGTGCTGAGGGGGGGGAGGGTGTGTCTGCTCCCCCCCCTCCTCAGTTTGAGGCTTCAGGAGCTTCTGCGGTAGTCAGCCCAGTCTTTTTGCAACAGGCATCGGGCCTGGCACCGTATCTTGTGGCTCCGGTCCCAGCGAGCCGCTCGGCGAGTTTGAGACCCGCTCCAGCCGAAGGGGGCGGGGCCAGGTCTGGTCCGGAGCGCAACAGTGGCAGCTGGACGAAGCAAATCCTCTGCAGGTATTATCTGCATGGGCAGTGCAAGGAGGGAGATAACTGTCGCTACTCTCACGACCTTTCTGGGCGGCGGAGAGCTAGGGGGGGCCAAGATTCTCAGCCTCGGGCCTCTGCAGACAGAGGACCCAAGATGGCCACTCAGTGGGAGCCCCCGACTCAGGAAGTGGCGGAAGCCCCCCCTACTGCATCCTCAAGCTCCTTGCCTCTGATTGGCTCGGCTGCTGAAAGGGGCTTCTCTGAAGCTGAGATTGACAATGCGGGCATTGGCTCAGCGGCTGAAGGGGGCTTCTCTGAAGCCGAGATTGACAGTGCAGGCCTTGCAGCAGGTGCTGTGGGAGGAGCGGGTGCAGAAGGCTGGATAGGGGCAATTGAGTTTGTTCCTGGACAGCCGTATCGTGGTCGCATGATCCCCCCGCATGGTCCTGAGGCTCCTCTGCCGAGCCCGCCAATTGAGAGAGAGCATATGGCTATGGGCATGGGGATGCCGCTGCTGCCGCTTTGCCGCTATGCTGCCCGGGGACAATGCCTCCGTGGGGACAGGTGTGCATACCCCCATGGAGAGATATGCGACATGTGCGGGCAGCAGGCCTTGCACCCTTGGGATGCAGCTCAGCAGGAAGCTCATAGAAGGGCCTGCGTTGAAGCACACGAGAGAGATATGGAACTCTCTTTTGCTGTGCAGCGCAGCATGGACAAAGTGTGTGGCATCTGCATGGAGGTTGTCTATGAGAAAGCAGTCCCCAGCGACCGCCGCTTTGGCATCCTTTTCAGCTGCAACCACACCTACTGTCTTAGGTGTATCCGCAGGTGGAGAAGTGCCACACAGTTTGAGAACAGGATCAGTAAGTCCTGCCCACAGTGCAGGGTCTCCTCTGGCTTTGTCATTCCTAGTGAGTTCTGGGTGGAGGAGGAAGAGGAGAAGGAGAAACTTGTTCAGCAATATAAGGAGGGAATGAGCCAGAAAGACTGCAGGTATTTTGCTGGAGGCCTAGGTCACTGCCCATTTGGAGAATTCTGTTTTTACAAGCACGAATACCCCGAGGGCTGGAGAGTCGAGGCCTGGAGAGATCAGCCTCCGAGACCTGGTGGTGGTGGATCTTCAAGCGCATACTGGCATCAAGTTTTGGAGCCTGTGCAGTTGCGAGAGGGAAGCTTGCTGTTTAAAAGCCGTAAAAAGGAGCATTCCGTGCTTCACCTGGCCAGTCAGTTGCTTAAGAAGTTGCTTTGCCTGAGAGGCAGTTTTTCCTTCTCTGATGATCGTTGGCTCTTGCTTCAGTACCAGCTGGAAGAATATTTCAATTTGAGTCTGTAGTATCACGCTGTGGCATGTGGTCTGGTCTGCAAAGGCTCTGTTGTCTGCTGTTGCTTATTTCCCTTTATTGACTAACAAACCCTATCGCTTTCAAAGGCTGTTGAGGCAATCTTTATGCAGTATTGCTGTTTTCTCCTCTATTACCTATTTCTTCTTGCTAGGATTGTGATGTTTCTCTGTGTTATAAAATAACAAGAAATCTTATAAGTATTGTTTGGTGGAATTAATATTGATGTCAGCTGATGACTTGTGATGTCTTTTTCCAACAGGATTCAATCACTTCTAGTCTAGTGTTTACAGTTTCTCATTGTGAAGTCCCTTAAGAGTAAATGTGACAAGGTGACAAAAGTCTTTAACTGAATTATGAGCTTTTTGCTATATAGCCTTAAAAAATGGACCCTTATAGGGCCTTGCAGCTGCTGTCTGTGTTTGTTTACATGTTTATTTCTTCCCTTCTCTTTCAAGTGCACTTGTTAACTTGTGGTTACTTTGTGGTTCTGTTTTACTTGACCAAAATGAGGTGCATATGTTTACATGTTTTTATCCTGTTTGGCTTGATGTGAAATTATTTATATTTGGAAATATATATTTAAGAATGATATATATGCGTATATGTATACAAAGAAGTATTTGAAAAAACTGGAAACAAATATACACTGTAATATATATGTTTGAAGTAATGAAATAAATGCAGAACTGAAAGTCTAATGTTAAAGTCCAGGTGTATGGGCTGTATGTGAATTGTGTGGATAATTTCCTGCCCCTGCACTGATGTCAGTGATTAGCATCTAATAAAAATGACTGCTATGTGTGTATCTGACTCTTTTTAATTTACAAAACACGGCTTCGAAAATTTCTACAATACTATTAACAGCTTCCCTAGTGTTACAATAATGAAATGGTGCCTCACATGAAGACACCATCTCATTTTTCTTCACAGTGACAATTCCTGAACTCAAAACATACAGTTGTTTGTTTTTAATATCTTAAATATCTGGTTTTTGTATCCTTTATAAGCAAAGAACTTTTGAAAAAAAAAGGTTTTCAAAATAAAAGTTACACAACTATGAAAAAATGGTAGTAAGTATTGAAATCAGACAATATAAGAATGGAAATAAGGTGAGGTATAGGACTTTTAAAATATTAAACATACTAATTTTGGAACCTTCTAATACAAATAAGCCCAAATTTGATGTAAAAGCCATTTAAATATCAAGGGTTACTTAAAAATACATTCTACTTAAAATGCACAATTAAAATACAAAATCAGGAGGATGGCTGGGGTAACTGTACTGTAAGTATAATAGATCAGGTTTCTACCAAACATTCCTGGAGAACAGAGGTGTAAAAGCATTAAATTAGACTTGATCTGGAATATATAGCTTCATGTTGTCTATTTAATTTGACACAAGCAAGTGAATATAGAGAGCACTGTTCAAGTGTGCAGTAAACAGTATTACCACATCTTTTAGTAAATGAATAAGAAAAAAAGTTTGTTCAGTCACTGAACAGTGCAGATTTAAACTTCAGAAATGTATAGAACAGAATGTGTTTTCCTTTACTGAAGTTGCCAAAAACATGCTATGGGTTTTAGTTGTCTGGTATATACCATGTATCAACTATGAAACAAAACCAACATAATTGCACAATTTACATTTAGCTACACAGCATACATTGAAGTACTGATCTGTCAGAACTACCTTGCGTAGTACTTGTAATTTTCCACATGTGATGAAATAAATGAGGTAGAAAAGGTATTGATCACAGGAGTGAGGTAAAATTAGTACATTTACAGAGCACTTGAGATCAGATTATTCTACTGCCTCTACCCTATGTATTAAAATTAAGAAAAGGCATGTGGTTTTAATATGCAACTTTTAAGCATGGATTGCTCAGCCAGGTGCAGCAGGGCATGAACAAGGTTCTAGAAAATGGGCTGTTTTGGAGCTTTTATCTATGAGTTGCCAGGCTCAGTGTTTTGTAGTCCATTGTTCACAGTGGGATATGCCATAATGCTTCCCCCCTGATTTCAAATAATGGATCAGTCAGGAGGCCATGGACAGTTGACTGTTTTCCCATGGGGTGGGATTTGGGGGTGGGTCAGATAAGCCAGCTAAATAATGAGACCAGATGGGGCACTTTTAAGAACTGACTTTCAGGCCTCAAAGGAGTTTTCATAGTGGCTAAGATAGGGTGGGGTTTTGTTCTGAGCTTTAATATCTCTGGAAACTTCTAGTGTATACTACATAACCTCATGAAGTGACACTTACTCAACAAGTATATTGAAATAAGACTCAAGATTTCAGAGTTATAATGCTTTTAAAGCTGGTAGAGAAATAACATGGAAGGCAGATTACAGGGTAATAGAGTCCTGATTCTTACCAGGCATGCCACTTAGATGAGTACTTGTGTCCTTTACCTTAGTTTATGCATAGGAGAAATGGGTGCACTGTTAACTGTTAAGTAGTAGAATAATTGTGCAGAGCAAATGCAATGTAGACAAAAGGCTTGAAACATGTTTAAAGGGTTTATATACAAGTGGAATCCGCATGTTTATCAATGCAAGTAGCTACTACCTGAAATGTATATTCTGCCAGTTTTTTATTTTATGAATCCTTGGAACTCAAAGTAAAATTTATTTTGAGATTATTTTTGAATAATATAGGTGTAGTGCCTCATACACTTTTTTTTACATCAGTAATGTCAATAGAATTTTTTTTTCTAGCAGAAACCATAGATAAAACTAGACATGTTCTATTCAGCTGCTTAAGAATGTCAAACAGTGTAAGAATGATTTCTTGTAGCAGACGCATAATGGGGAAATAACAAGATACTATTTAAAAATAAAAATTCCTTAACCACCCATCAGCTCATTAAGAAACGGGTTAATAACAGATGTCACTCCCACTAAAACCAAGTGAATTTTTCTCTGCTGCTTTCCCAAGAAGGCTGCAGGTTCAGGCCTGCTGTACTCAGGAACAAAGAACCCCTTGGCACACAAAGGTTTGCTTTGTGAAGGCTTCAGAAAAGGCAGCCCCTACCTCAAAAGAGCTTGCAAGCTCCATAAAAGAACTGTCTTTCTAGCTGCAACATAAAGAACCTGACGAAACACATTTAATTTCCTATGCTTTCCAATTGTAAATGTGGTGGATGTACATGGATGAACATACTAGTGGGAATTTACTTAGTTATTCAGAAAAGATACAGAAGCCACTGTTTCTCACAGCCCTGATTCCACATACAAAATATGGACACAAAGAAATGTAACCAACTCACAGTCAATGCCTTTATGCGTTTCTCTTCACGTTTGTGTACCTTAGCACTGAGGTTTCTGCCCACATAGCTCACTCCAAATTACAACTGGATGGCATTGGAATACAGCTGAGAAAGGATATTTTGGGGAAATAAGCCAGTCCTAGTGCCAAGAAACAATTACCATGTTAAAACTTTTGCATATGTAAATACATGCAGCATTGGTGGAACACTGACCAAAATTAATCACCCATGTAGTGGATGAACAGTGAAATGGTCACTTTAATTGAAATCTAAGTTAAGTAGAATTTGTTTTCATATGAATATCTATGGATGTTGGTATAAAAGTGAATGAGATAATAGCATATTTGAATTAAAAGGGAGGATTGGGCTGTGTTCTAGAAAAAGAAAGAATATCAAATAAGGATATTTTCTTCTCTTAGAAGAAATAAAAGTATCTTCATGTGTCTAAAGATTATTAATGAGCTTGATAATATAAAGTGCATGTAATATAGATAGGTAATATATGTAAATGTATGTGTATTTGTCTTTCTGTCTTCTGAGTTTTGTTAAATGGACATAAGTAAGAAAAATGAATAGATGAAGGCAATAATAAAATGAGAGAAAAATAAAGGATTAAATATACAGGTTACATCAAAACATTTTATAAAATGTATACACTCATCTTTATCACTAAAAAGAACAAAAAGAACACAACAGCATACAGTGGAAGAATTTGCAACATTTTATTACATGTACATTAAGGATGCATTGTTTAACCAGCAGACAACTGAAAGGTGACCTATCTGGTCACATAAAATCAAGAAAATAGTTTACTAGTATTTTTCTTAGAATTCATAGGTTCTTCATAAAACCTTTAAATAATAAATTGTTTTATATCAATAATCACATAGTTAATGATAAAAATGAATGCTCAGTCTTATGAACTGTTTTGCAAAAAATAGTTCAACCATAATAAAATATTTCAATTTTTTAATCCTTTTAATATATTGCTAGTAATCATAGTCATCTGTTTTGATTTTGATGAGGCAAAAAAGGTAGTTTTGTCTCTGTTGTCAAATCATTATTTTGATGGTTAAATCTGTGCAAATTCATAAAAGAACAAATTAAAGCAAGCCCAAGTGTGACATCTTCCAGAGTATGCAGCTTTCTCTCTTAGAGAGTAGACTCTGTTCAAAATTCAGAATATCTAGAAAATATAAAAAAGCCAAGCAAATCACTGTAAACCAAAAAACAAAATTTCTATTATAAATGAAAAAGTAGGGATAAAGCAAATCCTTATTTTTATTGTAGCAAGGTGCAGAAATAAATAGCAACATGTAAATCTGAAAATAGAAGCACTTTTCAAGAAGCCTTTAAGAATGTTTAAGACATGAAGTTGTATTCCACAAAATTTGATAGGTAAATTTAGTATTACAATTTTTTCCTTGGTGATAGTGAAGTTCAGACAGGCCATTATTAATTTTTAAGAAAATGAAGAAACCTTTTGGAAAGTCTGTATGCTGTAGAAAACACATCAAGTAAATGTTGAGCAGTTTATATGTAAAAGAGAACCAGGCGTAGTGACAAATGCTTTTAATCCTAACATTCTGGAGTTAAAGGCAGCAAGATCATGAGTTTGAAACCTGCCTTTGCTTCATAGCAAGATTCTCTCTCAACAACATCAAATCAGCTCTGTACGGTGGGATGCTACACTGAAAGTGAAGCAAAGCATTGCTTGAGAATAAGGGGAATGAGAGTCAGTGAATGATCCTTGATGTATAATAAGACATAATAGTATTCAAAGTCATGTACTTTAAAAATGTGTGTGCATGTGTGCACATATGTATACGGATGCATACG